TTCTTAAGTAAGCTTCTTCGTGTAACTTGCTGTACGAGAAGTTTTACAGAAGACTACTTAGTCTATTTCTGTCGCCGCAGGTGGTTAATATATTTTTAATATTTTCTGTTCGCATATACCAGCAGTGACACTGTAATCAAGAGATCTGACTTCTGAAAAGCGGGAAAGCTGTTCAATTTCAAACCCTTTTGCCCTTTGTTGTTATTCGCTAACTGGTCGCCTATTACCGCCCTATTACCTTACCAACAGATACAAAATTCACTACTCTTATAATCGACGGTCGTCATCCTGTAACTTTAAATGCAAATTAACTAAGTTTCCATTCGGTGTCGATTCTGGATTATTGTGTAAAACTCAAAGAGAATCGCGGCTGTTTGGATTTTTATTTACTGATTCATGATAACCGGTGTGAAAACAGCACGCCAAACCTAGCAACCTGTTTTATCAAAGACATCCGAGTATATGCTAAAGTCGGTTTTACACGATCATTTTTAGGTAAAATAAAAAGTATAACCCCACGTAAACGAGAATGTGCTTCGCGAATCTGACTACTGTAAAGTGTATCTAAAACTACCCCTTATGAAATAGCGTGGTCAGATTTTGTTGCAGTCATTTCCTAAAGACACTTTTAGCCACCCCCAAGAAATAATTTCCCACGTGTAAACGAAATTGTACTCCGCGGATCTGATGACTGTAAAATATACCTATAATAATATGGGCAAGCTATCTCATAGGGGGTAACTATGAGATAGCTTGCCCAGATTTTCTTGCAGTCATTTCCTAAGGACGCTTTTAGCCACACCCAAACAAAAAAAATTCGCCACAAGTAAACGCAAATGTGCTCCGCGTATCTGACTACTGCTAATTGCATCTAAAAGCACCCTCTATAAGATAGCGTGGCCAGATTTTGTTGCGCTCATTTCCTAAAGACGGTTTGGACACCCACAAACGAAAAAAATTCGCCGCAAGTAAAAGCAAATGTGCTCCGCGTATCTGACTACTGCTAATTGTATGGGTAAGTGGCCGCTAATAGGTTGAGTTGTAACAGATTTCAGCTTCGCTAATATACACGCTATTAGCAGTGCAATGTATAACTGTAAGCTATTAAAGTATCTTTCTATGTGCTATGATATTATAGTTAATAACAGACCGAAACCTGATAAATTTGTAGGAATTCATCTTTGTTGTTCACATTTCATCAAAACCATTATAAAAGACGGCAATAATTTTTATTCCCACAAAAAACAAGAAAAACAATGACAGAAATTGTAGCCAAGCTTGCAGCAATTGATAGCTTCGACTTAGCGAAAATTTGGTTATCGAATTTTATTATAATTTTATCATCAGAATGTTTTAATAATGAAACTATGTGCGCTTTTGAAACGTTACAATCCACCTTTATACCTGACACACCATTAAAACATTCCGACGAACTGGATGACATAATAATTACCGAGACCGATAGAATTTACAAAGCCAGTCCGTTCTATGTATTTTTCCTCAACATTTGTACGAAGGTTGTAATATTTACAAACGTCCTGATTTTTTGGATTTAATATTGCAAAAATATTTAGTGTGCTATCCATTATGGTGTGGAGTAATATTAAAGTTATTAGGACATTCTGTTAATCGAGTATAACCGAGAAAAAGAAAGAGGCGACCGAACGCAAATCAGATAGAAAACCAACAATTTTTTTAATAATAAGATATAAATAAAAAAATTGGAAAAGATCTGTTTGGTAATTAAACAATTCATTGTCAGTGTTTCTTAATTTCGAACAGTTCCAGATCCATTTTAAAATTTCTATCACATTTGTGAAAGAGTTCCATGTTCTCATATTTAAAGTAATCAAAATTAAAATAATTTCAGATACAATTTTAAGTATTATCAACGGAGCACATTTGCATTTACTTGTGGCGAATTTTTTTCGTTTGGGGGTGACTAAAACCGTCTTTAGGAAATGAGTGCAACAAAATCTGGGCACGCTATCTCAGAGGGGGTAATTATAGGTATATTTTACAGTCATCAGATCCGCGGAGTACAATTTCGTTTACACGTGGGAAATTTTTTCTTGGAGTTGGCTAAAAGTGTCTTTAGGAAATGACTTCAACAAAATCTGACCACACTATTTCATAAGGGGTAGTTTTAAATACACTTTACAGTAGTCAGATTCGCGGAGCACATTCTCGTTTACGTGGGGTTATACTTTTTATTTTACCTAAAAATGATCGTGTAAAACCGACTTTAGTGTATACTCGGATGTATTCGGTAAAACGGATTGCTATGTTTGGCGTGCTGTTTTCACACCGGTTTCATGATATGCGCAATATAACAAGCAGTTGTAATCCAACGACCCCAACGACTGACGGGGCCGCTCTACTATAAACTCAGCATATGCGATGTGCGGTTGAGTGGTTTGTTTCTTTGAATACTTTGACAGTTCACCTGGAGTTTCTTTCTGACTATTTACTCGCCGAGGAATCCCAAACTATCTACAGCGACTTTGAAAATAATCTAATGGAACATTATCGAGAATTTCCAACCATTTTATCAGTCGTCTCGTAGGAGTGGATGTTATAGACGAATTTCGAATGTTATATTTCGATAATAGCATGATCGCTGAGGTTTTCATCTTCTAGGATTTTTCAGTTATCAATCAAGTTGATCATTTCGGCTTTGCACATTGTTATACCTGTGCAAGACTTCTGATTACTTGATATGATACCTGATATGCCTTGCTCTTCCATCCATTCACACAGGATTTTATTTTTTAGGAGGGGGCTGACTTGGCGTTAAAATCCCCCGTAATAAAAATCCTGTTTCCTTGTTCTTATGTATTACCTCTGCTATTTGATTCAATTTTTCCTCGTATTGTTCTTTTGATTCATTGGGTGTTAAGTAGCATCCAATCTAAAAGCCTATACTCGTCTTTATCGCAACAAACCCTGCCTTTCTTTCCATTTATAAACTTTTATTTCGTTATTGACTATTTTGATCCTCACATCGCGATTTGTGTACCATTTACCTGTCTTAACCTTTTTTTCTGTTATGCATCCCCCGTGTCTAGGATGCATTACGTTCATGGCTTCAATAGCTCTATTTACATTTACTTGTATGACTTTGTGTACCACCCTGTTACTCCCCATTGCTTCCACATGTTTATTAGTTTTGCCTTCGTTAGTATTAAACTTATCAACCTGCTTCTTATTTTTTTGTTCTTCTCTACTGCTCATCGATATCTTCTATTTTCATTCCCAATCTTCTTTTCCCCTGTTCACATTGCCCCGATCCTGCTCTATGTCCGATCGTGTCATACAAAGGGCACGCTTTAGCGTTTCTGCACTCCGAAACTGTATGGCCGTCCTTTCCATATTTAAAGCACGCCTTACTTCTATTCTTCCCCTTGCATTGCCTGATAGGGTGTCTGTATTCCCAGCATTTGACGCATCTCTCTATCCTCACTCTCCTCTCTAGCCTGCACCTAGAATAGCCAATCTTTATTGCTTCTTTTTCCAGCAGCTCAGCTGCGTCTCTTCTCATCCATTCCCCTGACATATATGCTGTCTTCGTTTTCTGCCTTCTTATCGTGGCTTTTTCCATATATAGCTCTTGAATTGCTTTAACGCCTTTTCATCGTTACCCGTAATAATTATTACTTTCCCGTCCTTCGGATTCTTAATACTTTTAACAGCATCGTTTCTCTGTACCTTTTTCAATGCTTCTTTTATGTCTTTAAGCAATTCTTTGTAAGGTACGTCTTTATCCATATTTCCGATGACCAGTGCATAGCTCCTTCTTTCCCTAAGCGGTTTTTCTTCCTTTGCATTATAGTTCTTAGGCACGTGTACATCAATCTTAATTCCGAAATCCTTGAAAATGCATTCAAACATCTTCCTCATTCTCTCTGCACTTAGTACTTCTACGACGTGCGCAGCAATAACTGGCTTCTTCTGCATTTCCTCTTTTAGCAACACTAATTTATTAAATATGTCTTCTTTTGTGCCTCTATAATTATTTTGTAAATTTTTCTACTTCTTGTTTTAATATTTCCTTTCATTCCGACTTTATAGACCTGCTCGACTAGCCCTATTTCCTCTTTAATTTCGCATAGCTCTGGGTACCTATCCCTGATAAGCCTTTGTAGCCCTTTTTCCATATCTCCGTAGTGAGGTTCGACAATCACTAGTTTGGCGACATCATCACTTGTAAGTAACGAGTTCCCCTCTCTGGTCTGTGTAATCTGGTACACTCCCTCAGACCACTTTTGATCAGAGATATTGCTTCCAATCTCCATAATTATTAATTTCTCGGACTGTTTTTATAGTTCCGATCTCATATATTATGTTTGTCTGGGTAGACATGTCCCTCTTTTCTATTTCCTTACCGGCCATGTTGACTTGAGTCTCCATATCATATGTCACCTTTTCCACCGGAGCATATTTATTCTTTTTAATCCAATCTTCAACGATTTTCCCGTTGTCGTTTGAATTTTATTGAGAGCTCCTTGATTTAAATTTTCCGTTCTACTCGACGTGAATAAAAATCATAAATGTTTCAGTTTTTACCAAGAATTTGCGTATTTCATTTATTTTCCTAAAATATGAAAAAGATAATCTAAGTTCAAAGGAAAAAATTCCTTATAAAAGTTGTTCATTTCATTCGATAAAACCCAATTCTCACCTATTTTACAGCTTTATTTAAATTCATTATCATTATTTAAGATTTCTCGGTAAAATTTTGTGTAAACAATTGCTTACTATTTCCATAGATAATAGGAATTTCAACAAGCATAGGGAAATCTAAAAATAAATATGTATGAACAAGCAGTTGAATAAACATTCTTGACTAATGTAAACGTTAACAAAAACAGTATAAAAACAAATCGCGTAGTTTTCTTCCAAACCAGCTTCTATGTTTACAATTTACACATACTTGTTAAAATCAACACATTACATCGAGGCTATTAATAGAAAAGCCAAAATATTTTTTGCGTATACAATTTATTTTTTTTACTGTAAAAATTTTTTAAATATATTTTCATATATCGATATAATTTTGTTTTTTTAAGCATCAACACACACAATTTGCATTGGATTATCGATATCTTTACATAAATCAGGATCGCGAAATCTGCTTTCGACTGGAAGGTTCGGATCTACCACGGCCCTAACCGGCCATCCTTTTCCAATATGACAATACTCGGTACAGTACATTCCCGGGGGCGATAAATCCTGCCAAATCGAAGACTTCGGTAACGAATCGGTCCAATCTACTAATGGTGTCATTATAAATGGGTAGGAATCGTAATATGTTTGGAAGGTGTAATTGCTTCCGTATTCCGATTTCCCACTAAAAAATAAATTAAATAGTGCATTGATTTAAAAGAATTTGTTTAAATCAATATTAAAATATAAATTAAATCGTAAAAAAAATGATTTTATTATTAGAGAGTCTGCAGAAGTTTAACCTTTATTTTTAACCTTACTAACTAAAACTACCTGGGATCTAAAACGAGTTGTATAACGTTTCTGATCGATTTAATGTATCCTATTAATATTTTGAGCAATTATCAAATTGGTGGTTTATAGTTTGATCATCGATTGCTTCTTTCTTTATCAATTTTCTAGACTTAAATTCAGTTAACAATATTCAATGTTGACTCAACTCAGTAACATCAATTAATATAAATGCTGAAGTCAAATGAGAAACTCCTACTTTAGTAAGCTATCTATCAATTGCAACGGAGTGAAGTCATTGTACAGGGTGTCCAACTTTCGATGGGTTTGCAGGGTATCTCATTTATTATGAAAGATAGAAAGTTGCGGCTTTCGCGAACCTGAGCTACTTTTTTGTAAAACTTACAATGCCGCAAACCAAATATTCATAGCCCTCTTCTTTTTTGATATACAGGGAGTGTTTCAAAATTTACGATTTTCATACACCTCCTGTATCTCGGCTATCCGAAAACGTAAAAACGGGTTCTAATAGATTTTTTCACGTAGAATCCAATGGTGCACGTAGAATTTTTCTAGTCATCACAGTTTTTGAGTTATAAAGAGTTAAGTATTTTAGAAGTTGAGTATTCAGTATTTGGGTTGTGTTTATAACTTAAAAACTGTGATGACTAGAAAAATTCTACGTGCACCATTGGATTCCACGTGAAAAAATCTATTAGAACCCGATTTTACTTTTTTACTAAGTTTCCGGATAGCCGAGATACAGGAGGTGTCTGAAAATCGTAAATTTCAAACACACCCTGTATATCAAAAACGAAGAGGGCTATGAAAATTTGGTTTGTGCCATTGCAAGTTTCACAAAAAAGTAGCTCAGGTTCGCGAAAGCCGCAACTTTCTATCTTTCATAATAACTGAGATACCCTGCAAACTAAAATTTGGACACCCTGTACGTTATGGTTTTCAACACTTTGCTGGATAAAATGAGTGGACCACTAGAAATAGAGACAGAAAATCGAACGGCAAGCACATATAGCGAAATTAATAGTTTCTGGGGAGTCATGTAACTTGGAACTTTGTTGCAAGCATGCATAGCTTGAAACCCACACCCAAAAGAAAGCGTTGTCATTAGAAAGGTCGCTATTACTAGTCCCAACTGAACCATGCGTATCCAAAGAAATAGAATTTATATCTAAAGAATATGATGAAGATGATGTATTATAGTTTGTATTTATTTTGGGTGCTTGGATAAAATACAAGACCCTCCACTCAATTGGAAGGATTTGAGGTAAGATTGGCAGCTTGTAACGAAGTACTGAGGAAATAAGTCGTCCACTTATCATGACTATCCGTGAATATATTTAAGCAAAACCACCAAGTCCAACTTAACTATTGGTGAAAGAAAAGCTGTACGTAGTGTAAGAGGGAGAATTGATATAGTCATCCTGCTTGCAGATGGATAAATAGTTACGATGATGAAGAACCTAATTAAGTCGGTAAATATTCCACCGCAGGAACAGAAAAGCCTGTTTGTACAAGCCCTAGTAGCGTAAAAGATCTATGATTTTTGAAAAATTCATAAAACGTCCCACTGCGACCTATTATAAATGCAATTAAGTCACCTACATACTAGCCTACGAAACACCTAGCCAAAATATTGTCGCCCTTTACAGGAAACACGGACTCCCACGTTAAAAATTCCATACATTTTGTTAAATTAAGTGGCAAGATATCCCTGGATCCACAGGACAGGTTAATCATCACTTTTTACCAAAGAGATGGTAAAAGATGTCAAGGATACGTCTACGATGAAAACTCCGACCAGAAGAATTACCAAAGTACGTCTCAGAACTTGTAGATTTCTATTTATCATCGACTTACTTAACACGTTGGATGCCCCTCTAATTTCGAAATCTAATTTAAAGTTGTGTTAGAACGTTTTAAACTAAAATGGAGAGTTTTATGAACAGCCATGGGATCACAGTTAGCAGCAGTTATCGCCAATTTCTGTATAGAACTGTTTGAAGAAGTGGCTTTAAAAACCAGTCCTTGAAGCCTTAAACAACCAGTATTCAATGATAATTAAGCCAACAAACACGCAGTGTACCGGATGAAAACGTACATGAAGAGGTACCTACAAGCTTTGTCATACCAGAGAATCAGACAACAGAGGTTATGCGACGGAGAAAATTTGTTAATTATTCAATAACTATAAGAAATTAATATACCCAACAAACCATATATGTATATTTGTTATCAGAAACAAATAACGAATTACTTTACGTTATAGCAAGTATGATTTGTATTTAAAAAAATAAACTTATCTGCCAAATCACTAAAATAAAACAGAAAAAAATCTACCTACGCCACTGAATTTTTCCTAAAAAGTTGCCATACAATGTTTTATTACAGTACTTTATCTTTGGTAATATGTGAGTTATTCGCGTTTGTGGTTTTCACAAATATTTCAGTTTTTGCTGATAGGGCGAAAACAAGAGATAGTATAAACAGCTTCTCGAAAAACGAAATCATGAAATGTAAGCTAAATTTAACCATTTGGCACAATGTGTGAATGGTAAGCTGAGCAACTGTCTTGCTGAAAGTACATTGACCGTATAAAATTTAAGGGTAATTGGATTTACATCGCTCCAATACCGACAATGCTGGGAAGAAACAATGTCATTTGTTGAAAAGCTATCTGAAAAGCAGCGTCTTCCTCATTTAGTCTCTTTGTCTGCCTCTTTATGGACAATACAGAACCCGTTTCAAAATTTTTTTCATCAGTTCGCGATCCCCACCTGAGATATTCTTGTGTCCGGTTATTTTTGCTAGAATTTTTGTATAACTACACGAAAACATGATTCACTAGTACCATAGTACAGTACTAAATAAATTCTCTCTTTCACGGTTAACATCGCATTAAAAGACTAAGGGCCGGTTGTACAATATACCGATAAACTTCCCGACAGCGTTGTCTGGCCGATATGTTAGTTTGTACTGTTTTACAATGTACGGATATTTTTGTCGGGGAGATTATTGACAGGATAACTTATCGGGTACTCAGAGGTGTCGATAAGGCGGTTATCCGCCAAATATGTATGGTTACCAAGGTTTTTATATAACAACATTGACAAACGTCTGTCTTGAAAAAGTTTGGTTAGTTTATTGTTCTGGAAGGAAAAAATAAACGTGCTACTAATTATACACAAGAGGAGTGTTTGCGATTAATTGAAATTGTAGAAAATCTAGCTAATATTATAGAAAATAAAACAACAGATGCCGTCACTTGGAAAGAGAAGGTATAAGCTACTTGGTAATTATTTATCACATATCTTGTATTTTAGAAAGCGGCATAGCAAAAGATTTGTCAAACTTTTAATTCAACCGGCACGACAAACATGGGAACAGCTTCGCAGTAAATACGAAACATTAAAACAAGACGCCCGTCAAGCCATTGCCGAATACCGCATTGATGTGAAAGAATGAACAATGATCATGAAAGAACTAGAAATTTGATAAAACTAAGCAGCGATGGAACACCATCACAATTTGACAGTGATTGTTTAGGTTAATTATTTTACCAATTTTATAATATTATGTGTTTAACTCTGTTTATGAGAAATGCATGTTCAATCTTAACTATTAATTCTTTCTTTCTTAACTTTTTTTGATAAACCGAAACCGTCTAAAAAAATCCGTTTCATCCCACTGCGCCATGTGGTTACGTCGTTCTTTAATTTCTTTTTCTTTTCTTTTACTTAAAAACATTAACTAAAAATTCGTTTTCAGACTCGCTGCTGGTACTAGTATCGTACAAATTAAACATTTTTCGATATTTATTAAAATGCTAATTGCACAATTTATACAATTGTTGTTATTGTCAAAATCAGTTCAAATTTCAAAGAAAGACGATAGCGTTACCAATCTACGGCACAAATGACTAGATATGGGAAAAAAGTACTACCAACCGAGTCTTATTTAGGAGATAGCAATCCTCCCGACAAAAACAGTTTGTACAACAGCGAATATCTTTATCCTCCCGATAAGTTTATCGTCCGGATAGTTATCAGACAGATTTATCGGTATATTGTACAACCGGCCCTAAATATCACCAACATAAGTTGTAAGTTTTATGGTTTCTATGGTTACATATCAAATTGAACTTGAATAATTTTCAATTTAGAAAAAAGTCCAATTTTTACATAAAAATGGGAATAATTAGCTAACTTTTATAGTTAGAGTATAAAATTTATGCGATTTAGTAGTTTGAACATATCCGACGCATTATCTATGCTGAGATAGGTTTGAAAAATCAGTAACAAAAATTTTTTTCCTCTTTGTAACTCGATCCGGGGACATACTGTAGTCGACAAATATTTGTTGTCCAAGTTTTATAAAACACAGGGTTTCGCGTAGTAAGTATGAATTTGATCCTTTGGTTGCTCCAACCATCACACTGTAAGCTAAGAAAATATTCGCTTCTCTAATTTTCATTTTAATGTCTGCATCAACTTTTTGTGATACTCAGCGTTGAAAGATGGTCTCAAATGTTTGAAAAATAATGACCAGTGTTTATTTTTAACAATGGCAAATGGAGCACCTGTAGCATAAACAGCCCTAGTTAATAGTTGATCTAGCTTCTCTTGTTCAACTTTTGATGAAACATCAATAAAACCATTGAAACTCGATTAGGGTCTGTTAACTTCTGATTCTGTTGTTGATGTATCATCGACGACCATTTTATCGTCATCTAAAACTAAAATTTAAGAAAATAATTTCCCGAACCATCCGAGTTTTGTCAGGACCAACAGAGTGAGCTACCATGCACGATGAGAAAATCACTATTACACCATGTTCTCGAGAATATTGTTCTCGTAAGTCTCTAGTAGTTGCATGAATACCAGGATGTGTTAAGTTGTGAAATTTGTTGAAAATTATTTTCCGCGATTTTTGTGGTACAAAAACTGTTTGTTGAAAGGTCGCATCAAATCTTACATCTGATTCCTGTATTTATTTGCTATAACCGCGTTAACCCTAGATTGCGACGGGCTAAAATATGGTGACTTAGAAAATCTAAAGCAAATATTTATGTTGTAAGAGAAAATAATGTTTTTTTCATTGATTCGATGACTGGCTACTAGTATATCGGCTAGATTTCTTTGGAGATATACGAAAAGGAATCACGGTCAGAAAGGACCTCGTCTATGAACCTCTAATATAACATTGCCTAATATCTATATAGATAAAATTATTTATTTCTTACGCGTTTGGCAGTTTCTTTAATCCACGCGGTATAAATTTTCCTTGGTGTTTCGTTTTAAAAGTTACTTTATCAATCATATTAAAGTTTGGACTTTGATAGCTCGGTTCAATTGGTGGACCATTTCTTGGACCATAACCTTTACCCTTCAAAAATAAAAAAATACATTTATAATTATTGCAACGGGAATAGAAATATTATCATTACAGCTCTTGGTATGTTATTCGCATCATAATATGTAACTATATCTTTACGAGCTATTCCATTTTGTTGGTTAATTGTAAATGGTATGTAACTCATTCTGGCTGTGGTCATATATGGATCCATATGTCGGTAAACTCCGGGTAATTCTGGAGGAATTGGTTTGGATTCGTCACGACCTAAAGCTTTAATCTACAAGAAAAATTCAATCAATAAAGTTATAAAAGTATTTAATTCTTATAAATAATGGATTAAAAAAATTACAGGACAGTAAGCATATGGATTTGGTGGAAAAACTTGTCGATACGTTGGTGGAGAAAATGATCCACAATAATCTTGTTTTGTAGTTGTAGTTGGAGTACCAAGGGGTGGTGGTGGAGCAGCAAACATCTAAAATTTATTTTTTAACAATTTTCTAAGTTTTCTTAACTAATTAATTAATATACTCTTTCTTGTATATTCCGTAAATAAAGAACTTTATCACGTTCTGTAGCCCTTGTCATGTTTTGCGAGGTGTTTGCTTGTTTTGTATAATATTCTTGGTTGTAAATAGTTTTAAATTGAATATCATTTCTTTTACATTCATTTGGGAAAATTGGATTAAATTTCGCTTTAACTCTCTGTAAAATTAAAAGAACACAATAAAGACAAATTAAATCAATTGATATGTAAACTTACACAATCAAAATCTTGGGGTAAAGGGGGCATAAAATGGTGAGAAGTATCTGTAGAAGTACGATAATCGGTACTTTTATAAACTGAAACTGGTATTCCATAATCAACATGACATAAACTATTTGCTGTACACGTTAATAATGGAGCCATGATGTTTTTATAAAATCTTGTAAACAGCGATAACTTTAGTTTTTATTGATCAAACAAAATTCAAGAAAATTTAATTTCGAATAAAAATGACAATCTCATGACATTTTATTTATTTTTTTTCCATTTTGAAGTTCTTTTTTGTTGCAGCAAAAAGAAATCAGGGTGGGATTGTTTAGCTAATAATGGGCAGTTCGGATAGTTCTTCTATAAATTACGATGCTTTTACTCCAGAGGATTTAATTTTATTATCCAACAGAAAGTTAGTAGAAATAACGAAAAATTTTTATACGGACTTGAAGAGATTGATGGTTGAAAACGACATTTTCGAACATTTCTTAACCGATCATAACGTTTATAATCCCGGTATATTAATCAATTTAAACGTTTTTTGTAAATATTTGCAATACTTCTTTCTTTGTAGAATCATTTACCCGTTTAACATTAAATCCACAAAATGAAGTTGCCGATACAAAGTCTATAAAATCAATGCGATTATCGCATAAACAGATACTGTTATCAGACGATACCTTGATTAATAATAAATCGGAAGAATGTTTGCATTTAGGAATGAGGTAAAATTAAACTTCTTTGAATATTTTGTTTTAATCAAAGTATTTAATATTTTTTAAATTAATTTTTAATAATTTTGTCGCCAATGCGATTATTAACTTAAAATTTATTGAATAAAACCGAACGTTTGTGAGAAACTTATATACACGTAAGTGATCCAGTATTTTATGTGAGATTTAGCTTATCTATTTAACATGTTTTTCACAATCTGATGCCAAATGCAATTTAGGCAAAAACCAATACTGCAATTCGCTGCAATGTGCTCAAACTGACCTAAAAATGTAGCAGGAAGCACTTCTTGGTTTTGTTGTCGAAAAAATAGATGTTAATGTTAAATCTGTGTCAGTTAACAATTTTATCGGCAAAATGGTTGGGTTGGAGGACTTATCATTGATATTTGGTCCAATTCCGCTTCTGGTATGTCTGTTTCATTTGTCATGGGATTACGGAGAATTTTGAAAGAAAAGTTGCAATGCTATTATCAGAAGTATTTAGTGCGAGCTGTTAGAATATTAGAGAGATAGGTCAGAAAAAAGAATTTGATAATAATGGGAGTGATAGATAAGCATGGTGATAGCAAGAGAGAAACACTGGAAAATAGAAAATATTGGTTGTGATAAGTAAAATAGAAGTAGACTGAAACAAGAAAAACGACCTAGATGACTACATAAACGTATGAAAATACAGGACGCAGGCACAAGATGCAAGCAAATGGAAATTCTTAAAAAGGCGAAGAACTTAAAAGACAGAAAGGTATAGATCAACAAAAAAAAGTACAAAGAAAAGTTTAGTGAAAAGGTACAGGAAGAACGGAATAAACTAATTTGCATTATGAAAGTCGATAATATTTGGATGAATATTTGAATTTTAGATTTACCTGGTCTAGAAGTAAAGACTCCTAGTAATAACTTGCAAATAGTGCAACGGTTTTTTTCAAAACAATAATTTATCATCTAAAAATAAGCAGTATTTTTAAAGATTATTTGAAGCAAATAAAGAACAAGCAAAACATTAGCGTTGTATAAAGTAGCGAAACTTCAAGCTGCTGAATTATGCAACTTCAAACCGCATAATTCAGCAGAAACTTTAATTTTACCTGCGTGTTTGGAAATTGTAAAGATTATGTTTGGCCCTGACACACAGAAAGAAATTGCAAAAATGTATCTTTCGGATGATACAGTCAACAGAAGAATTGCAGATATGTCACAAGATATCGAAATACAAGTTGCTACTAAATTAGCATACGAAAGAAGTTTTGAGAATTGTTCGTTTCATCGATGAATATGAAATAATAAATCAGTTTTTATGCTGCAGGTAACTGACTGAACACACAACAGGTCAAGATATATATGACAGCATCAATTCATATTTAGAAGAATTCAACTTTTCGTGGAACTGCTGCGTAGGAATTCGTACGGATGGAGCTTTATCTATGATGGGCTGTATCAAAGGATTTTGTAGCCTCGTTAAGAAAAGAAATGCTAACATTGTATACACGCATTGTTTCTTACATAGAGAAGCATTGGTTTCCAAAACATAACCAACAAATCTAAAGTTAGTGTTAGAACCATTAAAAACACGTCTATTTTAACTGCTTACTTTTACACACCGAAGTAAAACGGCAATCAAGAGGTAAAGCGCTGACTCGGGTTTACGAACTCAGAAATTAGCTCTTGACTTCTTTTTAAAAAGAATGTAACCATATCTTTACGCAACTAAAGAAACTATACCAAGAGGTTATGAACCAATTGGCGGAGATCCCAAAAGATCAAACCGAGCAATCCTCGGGAGAAGATAGAGCAGAAGAGGAAATCGTTCAAACAAGGCCGTCCTCAAAAGAAGAAAAAGAAGACATTGAGCAAGTTCAACGTATCAAGAGACAAGAAGTTCGGATAGAGAAGCTGATGAAACTTCATGCCAAAATTGAGAACGAGCTAAAACTAAGAAAACCAAAAAGCACTTACGACTTCTTGAAGAAACAAATTCAAGAACAGATGGACAACATCCAAAGATTGGAAGAAGACATTCAGGTATTCGAAACAAAGTTCAAATCCAAATACTTCAGAGAAGAAAAATTCTTGAACTGTGAAGAAATATTTCATTCCGTAATGGATCATAATCTGTAAGACCTACAACTCAAAATCCTATCATTCCTCTCCCAAGAATAAAACTGCCCATATTTGATGGGTTGTATGAAAACTGGACTTTACCTTAAAATAATCCATTCTAATCAATCCTTAACCAACGTGGAAAAAATGCAGTACTTAAAAACTCATCTAAAAGGGGAACCGTGCAGTATAATACAACATTTCCGAACCAAATTATGATGCTGCATGGGCTTTACTTTAACGTCGATACCAAAATAATCGATTAATTTTGTCCAAGCTACTGGATAAAATACTTGACCTTCCAAAATTATCGATCGAATCATCCGAGAAGATTAAAGAACTGCACGACACTACTTCAGAATGCCTACAAGCCATTAGTAATATTGGGATTGTGACATGTTTATTAAAATTTTATTTGTAAATAAATAAATTTTATCTACGACTGCTTGGATAAGTCATCATTTCCGCACTCATTTGAGGTGATTTGAGTTACGTAATGAAGTTCATTACCGCATTGGTTTCATTACGTAACGCATTTTTAGCCTAATCAGAACAGACTTAATTTATTGAAACGAGCAACAATACAAAAGAAAAAGTGCTATCTACTTACAGAGAAACAATACTATTTATTATAAACATTAATTGTTATGTTTTTACATTTCGAAACACTTATTCCAGATGAGTAAACATGTTGTTGAAACTGACAATTCAAAAATGTCAACAATCATTTCAATAGTTATTTATATTACAAGTGGGCTAGAATCAAGGACAGTAGAATCTAACAGGACTGCTACATGCATTGTATTTTTGTAGCCCACTACGGGTTGGTTGCCCGCACTCTACGTCACACTATTTGCCACGCCCTGTTAACTGTCATTCAGTACTGTGCGTTTGCTGTGTGTTTTTAGAGATTTGGAGGTTACATGATAGACATTAATACGTCTAAAAAAATAAAACTTCAAAAATAATATGAATACGTCTACGATATAACCTCTAAAACCACAGCAAACGGATAGAGCTGGCCGTGGCAAATGGTATGACGTAGTTTGCGGGCAGGTTGTCACAACAATGGATGTAGCAGTCCTGTTAGATTCTACTGTCCTTGGGCTAGAATAGTATATTAAAAAACAAGTTTCGTAAGACACGTTTGAAATGCACGAATTCAAATTGAAAAACGAGTGACGAAGCCACGAGTTTTTTAATGAATGAGTGCTTTAAGTCTTATGAAACGTGTTTTTTATGCTATTTTTTGTAATTCGCGTTTTTATCCTTTTTTTTTTCTAAAAAATAATATAAATTTTAACAATGTAGGGAAATAGGTATGTAGCAGTTGGTAACACCGTAACACTTGAAAATAGAAATTTGAATTGACAATTAGAAACTGTCAATACACAAAATGTATTCACCTGACAAAAATGTTTCATGTACACCTCCCAAAATAAGAGAAATTGCTCAGAGTTCAATGTCCTCATCATTGTGGACCTTATATTCGATGCTAAGAAAGTGTTTAAACATCCATAGACAAACATTGTCACATTGACAACTAGAAAAATTAATGACCCAATGTCACCAACTTGAACTGGTTCCATAAAATGTTACTAAAATCTCATTACAGCATCGGATGCTGTAAGGAGTCTCATTACAGCACCCGTTTGAGTACTGTTATAGCTTTCATTACCGTCGCGAATTACAAAAACATAATTACAGTACGAGTGTGGAGAATTGCACGACGAGGTCGTAGACCGAGTCGTATAATCACACGAGTAAGTGTTAATAATAAGTGTTTTGAAATGTAAAAACATAACAATTAATGTTTATAATAAATAGTATTGTTTCTCTGTAAGTAGATAGCACTTTTTCTTTTGTATTGTTGCTCGTTTCAATAAATTAAGTCTATTCTGATTAGGCTAAAAATGCGTTACGTAATGAAACCAGTGCGGTAATAAACTTCATTACGTAACTCAAATCACCTCAAATGAGTGCGGTAATGATGACTTATCCAAGTAGTCGTAGATAAAATATTTTTATAAATGCCAAATAGACTTTTTTAAAGAAATTGATTTTTTAGTAATTTTTAGCAGTCGTAGATAAAATGCTGTATATCACACGTGGGCTAGAGCATAATTACAGTACTCGTGTGATTACACGATTCAGTCTACGACCTCGTCGTGCAATTCTTCACACTCGTACAGTAATTATGTTTCTAGCCCACTTGTAATATAAATAACTAATATCCTATTAGATGTTCTTCATTATAACATTCATATTAATAAATAAGAATCTACAAAATTCAGTTTTCATGTAGTTTTCACTAAAATTGTATGTTACCGTATATGAACAATCAAAGACGCACCTCATTTTCATTAATGATAACAACAATATTACAATAAATATAATGCGGTTTAGATTCGAATAATATTTACATCAAAGTGTAGCTAAATTTTTTACCATAAGGAAAATGATAAAAAAATAAAAGGTTTATTATAAAACCATTTACAGTCAAGGTGTGAAATTATTGTAAAATTTTGAGAAGAATTATTAGGAAAAATATATCGAGTCAAGAAAAAGCGCAAAATCCTTAAAAAAAAGTGAATAGAAAAATGTTAAGAAATGGTGCGTAAACGCATTAATAATAAATGAGATTTTACATCGAATGGTAACTAAATTCTTTAATTTTACGAAAATATAGAGAAAACACAATGGCATAGATATTTAAAATTCAAAAAGATGCAGAAACGTATTTGAAAATTAAGAAACTATTTTTTCACGTATTAAAGTTAAATTATTTTATTTTTAAAGAATATTTTTGACTATTTTATGAATTTTTAAAATCAACTACGTCATAACATTGGTACAGTTATTTGAATTGTAAAAACGAAATTGTGTATTTTTGT